TCGATGCTTCTACGCTTTCGTCTGCGAGCAGCCGACTGCTATATAAAGGCGACACTCAGCTGCAAGTCAAGCAGTGACAAAGCAAATTGGTTGGCGTTAACATCAGTGAAGACGTAAAGTGAACGCGTTGGGAATTACATTTAAGTAGAGGAAATTGTGAAAGTTGATGTTAGTGATTATAAATAGTAAAGTGCAGTATAATTGAATTGTGAATTACTGAGAAAATAAAGGACATTAGATAGAATCTTTATAAAGAAAGAAACTGCAAATTAAGTTGGCGAGTTTTATTTAACAATCCAGAGATCGTACCCGAAGGATCTAGAAAATAATCGAGGTTGATTTAGTAAAATCGTAACAATATCAAGTATTTTTTATTAGTGAAAGGCAAATAAAATTGAAGAAAAAAACAGAAGGGGTAGAAGATGTAATAAATATCTGTTCGCTGTTTGTGTTCACGACTAAATTATGGTTACTTCAGATAGCCCGTGGCTGTGCCCTGTTTCTATTTACAATTTTTACAAAAAATATATAAAAGTTCAGCTTAAAATTTATTTAAATAATGTACATTAAGGTGCCTACTGTGGCACTGAAAAAATTTAAGTGTAATTTTCGAAAATTTGTGTATTATTTAAACAAAGAAATAAAAGTCGTTCCGCAGAAAAAAAAAATAAAAAAAATAAAAACAAATAAGAACAGCCCCAGCCTACAGCGAAAACAAAAACAAAAACTGCGGTACGAAAAGATAATTTGGACGAAAGTCGATATATATTGTTAGCTGAGTGTGTTGATCAATTGCGTATGCCAAAAATGCCTAAGTCGCCGCCATTCTTACAAAAAAGAAACTGAAGCAACCTTGTTAACAAATTAATAGAGTTAGTTGGTTAAAAACTTCCACATAGTCCCAACTAAAAAGGATAATTTTATTTTTATTGACTCTGATCAAATATTTTTGTTACTTTTTATATGCTTATAAATATTGGACGTACGGAATCTATCTTTGGAATTCAACACCTAAATCTGGTAGGGGTAAAATTCAAAGGCTATGGTCTACGTTCTTAAAAGCAGTATGCATGGCCTCTTGGCTAACAAACTTATTACAGCAGAACTGCCCCAAGCGATTAAAAAGAAATTATTTACGTTTGAACTATGGTTAAAGGCTCTTTCAAATTTAATTTCACTATATTAAGGTGTAATGGGGTGTAGTCGAGCTTCTGGGTACGCAGTTACAGTCGCGGGGCCATATTGAACTCCTACTCTTGCGTCCACGTCAAGCAAACCTTGTGCAAGATGCGGTAACCAACCTGTGTGGAGCCTTGAGTCAAGGCTAAAAGAGAGAAAGCTTCAGTGGAGCCATTACGACTTATTCAGGTTTAGGGTTCGCTGAAGTCTCAATGCAGAGTCTGTTCACCAGGGGTGCGGTTGCGAGCGGACGTCGGTCTTAAAGCAAGCGGCACGTTATATAAATATACAAAAAACTTAACCTTTTTCGCTTATCGAGGTTGGGCGCTGGACAAATCCACTAAAACGTTATACAACGCCTCGGATGAGATACCCAATATTTGATGACGACTACCGCAAACGAACTAAGGATTTGAGGGCATGCAACTGGAATGTCCGGTCCATTAACTGGGAAGATAAGATAAAATTATAAACTGACATCACCGCCCTCCAGCGAGTGAAGACATCTCTCCAGTGTTCTTGATGTGTGTTCACTTCGAGGTCCTTATATTGAATTGACGGCCGTCAACAAGCACACGGAAAGCTCGACGTCGAAATGCTGCCATCGAAACAGACTACCGAACGGTTTTCTACTCGACTTGCACTCCTGTTCTCTGAGAGCACTCATCAGCCACTCGTCATAGGGGAACTGTGGGACGGAATTTCAAACTCCCTACATATACAGCAAATGAAAGTATTGATTTCGGAGAGATCACAAAAAAACTGGTACGATGATGACTGCCATGTCGCATTTGAAAGAAAACAGACTGCCTACCTCGCAACCTTGCGATCGACCACAACACGTGCGGTAGGGAATACATATCGAGAGCTGAAGAGGAAAGCAAGACGCATCTGCAGACAAAAAAACAAGCGGATATGCGGGAGTATGAAGAGCTTAAGAAGCTGGCCGACAAAGGTAGTACTCAAAAATTCTTTGAAAACATAAAATATTAATCCTGGAGCAGATTTGAAGGACACAAAGATATGAACTAATACCAGATGCCCCGAGTATATTGAATTTATGACGGTAACACTTCTCCAGCCTCCTGAATGGCAGTCACAACGAAACACCAGGAGAACCCGAAATCCCAATCAAAGACAATGGATAAGACGCTGAGTTACGCAACTATGAAAAAGCGAGAATAGCAATCGCCCGCTTCAAAAACAACAGAGAGGCGAGGACCGGTGAATTACCGGCAGAGCTATTTAAATTTGGTGTTCCCGCAAAACTTATACGGCCATGTATACTGAGGTTAAGCAACTCTAAAGGCTCACTCAGGTTCGGGAAGGACCACCAAACGAGGTTGTAAACAGTGTAATTCCTTATTGTGTGATTTCTTTTATTTTGTGCTGTAGAAAACAATAAGAGCTGCAGCACTAAAGAGACAAGATACAATATTTTACAAGAGTGTTTAACTTTTGGCGTATGCCGATGATAAGCCTTAACCACCGCATCTTAATTTGGCCGCTCCAGACTTGATACATAAGCGAAGGAAATGGGTCCGGTAGTGAAAGAGGAGCAAACGACTTGGCTCACATGTCACAGATGACAGTCATAACTTTAAGGTAGTGGATAATTTCGTCTATCTATGGACCAGCATTTAAACCAATAATAATGTCAGACTTAAATTCCAGCGCAATAATTGCTACTTTGGACTGAGTTGGCAATTGAAAAGTAAAGTCCTCTCCCTGCGAACAAAAAACAAACTCTACAAGCTCCTCATCGTCCCCTTCATGCTATACTCGTATGCTTCGGAAGCATAGACGATGACAACATCTGATAAGTCGGCGTCAGGATTTTTGGAGAGAAGAGTTTTTTCGTAAAACTTATGAACCTTTGCGGGTTGAGAACGGCGAATTAAGAAACTGAAGCTACGCTGGATAGGTCATGTGGTCCGGTTGGATAAGAATACTCTATCTCTAAAAATTGTCGATGGAGTACTCGCCGGCAGCGTTAAGAAGAAAGGAATAGAAATTGAAAGGAAAGCGGTGTCTACGCCAGTAAAGAAATTTTCTCTTTATAGCTTTTAGATATTTATTTTTATTTGCCATCCATTTTGATAAGCAAAATTATATTTGTATTTATAAGCTATTGTACTTTGCCCCTTTTCTTAACCGATACAGTAGCAATAGTTAACATGAATTATATATAAGCATTAGTTTTACGATTTGCGAAGTTATTGTGAATTTCTAAAAAGAAATATTCATTAAAATTTTTTGAAAAGAAAAATATCGAAAATCAATTGCATTCATAATAATGACTAACTTCTTTTTGTTTTAACTCGTTTTCAAGAAATATTTAACTTTTATCAGATTTTTTGTGAAAAAAAAAAATCATAAACACCTCTCGGCCATTCTGAGGCGGCTTAAAATAAACTGTAACAGTTTTCAAGTCATCCAGTCCGACAAGGTTTTCATGATCAGAAGTCTTAATGCAGACCATTTTCACAAGATCACCAAGATGCACTGTAGGTGATCCATATGATGTTCATATGTTGCGGAAAATGAAGATGTCATAAATATAGGCATAATACAATAGGTGTAAAATGAATTAAAAAAGGAATTTGTTATAAATTTTTTGGTGACCAAAAATTCTAATTTTTTTGTATGAATTGAGTATTTCTGTTATACAACAAAGCTTTTTCGGAGATCACCACATCTCCTTATCAGACTTCTTATGGCAGGGATCTAACAAACGGATCTTTACTTAACAGGCGAGTGTTCTAACCCTGCGCTTAGATCAGCCATTGTTGTATTACTCAACTCATTTGCTATTGAGACTGCTCATTTTTTTAGAAAAATAGATAATGGCCAAAAACGTTAAAAAATTTCCCAAAAAAAAAACATTATTTTTGTGTTTTTGAGTCCAGACTCATTTTTTTCGGTAAGTTTGTTTTTTATTTCCTTCCTCTATTCAATACCAAAATCATTCTTTCAGATACTAAAACAATATTTCGTACGTTGACGAGATATGACTATATTAAAATGTTACGAAAATGCAAAAAATCCATTTAAGCCTTGTAAGAAATTAAGCGTTCCATAGTGTTATGTAAGTATTTAGAAACTTTTGTAATGTTTGTAAATAATTAAATAAATGCAGTTATATAAATACATATGCACTTTTTTATTAACTCACCCTATGACCACGATAAAAAAATCTAAAATGTTCCATCCATTCCTTAGATATGAGCCACTATGCAATAGGAATCCATATGCAATTATTTTCATAACACATTCAGCCGTAAATATTACTAAAAATACGTATTCAATTTTTTCCTGTAATAAAAATAAAACTGCAATTTATGATAAGCAATAGAACCCGTAGCTCATACCAAAGCCTGATTCGTCACATTAGAATCACTGTATGGGTACGGAGTGTATACAGCTAGAGCGACGCAGTTTGCAAAAATTGTCAAAAGTATTAAGTATTCGAAGGGTCTGTAAAACAATAGTTATAAAAACAATTAAGAAAATATTTGTAACTTTCATACTTCCATTCGACGATATTTATGCATAAAGCTCGAATCGGATTTTTCACACTTAAACAGAATAAAACTCGCTGAGGCCGATCGGGCTGCGGTTTTCCTCCTCGTCTTTGTGGGCGTTTTTGTGTGGTTACATTAGTTACCGTCTTTTGCTGATATATTCCGCCGCCAATTGTTGTACCATTTATCGTTTCAGGAATGTTCGATGTGTCCAAATGACTGTCAGTGCCTATTGGACCATTTTCTAAAATTTATTAGGTTATTGATTTGGCAATGAAAGCTACTTCTCTTTTACAATTAAGTAAAACTCTAATTTACATGAAACTTACCCAGATTTTTGTTTTTAAATAAAAAATATAATGAAAAAGTAAGGCTAGTAATAAGTTCGAATAAAATTTATAACTAGATTTAGAGAAATATGGCTCGACGTGAAAATATATAAAAACACACATAATTGGCCTTTTTTACCTGCGGTAACCCTTCAGGGTAAATCATGTTATACAAAAATAATACAAGTCTCCGCGACACACTGATAGGATGTGCTTTTTAATTTACCGAAGTGTAGACGAAATAAATCGGAGTTAAAGAAAAGTAATATTGTGTCCTTAATATATTTTAACCTCGAGACGACAAACTACTTAAAATAAAAGACAGGTCGCTAAAAGCACTAAAATATTTAATAAAATTTGAGATTATTATCTTTATTACTTTACTTCAGCCAAAGCCTTTAAAAACAGCACTTCTCCTATATAGATAAAGACTAACAATATACGAGGTGTGATCAGAAAATATCCGTTATTTTCAAATTTCTTGAGTTACTTATATTCGAATTTCCATTTTTTTCTGCTGTGTTGGTACACATGTCTGTTTTTATATGTTGGCAATATCATCCATGTTGGATTATCAATTTGTTTTTGACAGATAAAAAGGTTAGTCGTGTCTTGGTGTACTCTTAGATCTTTTACTATTCGAAAATATGGATCGAAGAAACTGTGTGTAAAAACTGAAATTAAATGCTAAAGGGTTTGGCGAGTCTACTGTGAGCAGAACGCAAGTTCAATTGTGATACAACCGGTTTATGGAAGGCCGAGAAGATGTCAATGACAATGCTCGTCCTGGTCGCCCGAGCATGACAACAACCGAAGAAAACATTGAAGCAGTGAAGAAAATGATTTGTATAATCGTCGAATCACTATCAAAGAGATTGGTGATGATGTTGGCATATCAAAAAAGAAGTTATGCGCCATTTGCGCGAAGCAGCTCGTCAGAAATGCACAAAATTGTGGCAAAACAATTATGGACTTTGCACCATGATAACACACCAGCTCACACATCGATGCTTGGGCGTGAGTTTTTGGTCACCGTATTCACCGGACTTTTTCCTCTTCCCAAGCCGGAAGACACCGATGAAAGGAAAGCGTTTTTCTACGATTGAGGAGATAAAAGAAAAATCGAAACCAGAGCTATTGGCGATACCAAAAAACGCGTTTTAGAAGTGTTTCGAGGATTAAAAAAACGCTGGCATAAGTGTATTATGTTTGATGGCGATTACTTTGAAGGGAACAAGATAGTTATTGATGAATTAATAGATTCTTTTTCAAAAATTTTGAAATAACGGAAATTTTCCGAGTATACCTCGTTCATACATGTAACCTATCGTGAGCTTCACTCTGACACCTCCTTTACCCTTATTGAACTTAATTCTGTATTATACTTTTTTATTTTATACACAAATTCATTAGAAAATATATTGTTGAAATTATTAATAAACTAAAAGGGAACAGTTTGTAACCGTTGATAAATGATTTGTTAAAAACAATTTAAAACAACCTAGGTAACATATAAACTAAATCCTCCGCCTCTTCGAGGTTTTTGAGAGCTTCCCTAGCTAGTATTGAAATTTAGGTTTATTCACGTGCTTGAGCTACTGCCCATTGTTGGAATTCACTTTCCCTAGAAGGTAAAATTTAAAACTTCTAACATCCCATCACAAATAGAATTTATAGATATTAGAAATAAGCCAAGATATAAAAAAAATCATTTGGGTGAGTGTGTATAGTAATATAAAATTATTGCATACCCATTGTATGATTGCCACCCGTTCGTGCCTTATCTACATCTTCAATACTTTTTCCATCATTGTTTATTCGCTTTGTCCCTACACCATCAGCTTCTCCTGGTTCGCGATTGTTTTCTAGTTCCATGTTACTAAAAAATATTTTGGCGCGATGTTTCAGTTTCACATATACTCAAACAATTCGTAGGTTTATTTTCACTTGAATAAAATTTTACCAGAGGATGTGAGCAACAATCAAATGTATTGAATTTACTTCGATTTTGGTATTGTTTTTCTCTATTGCAAGATTTAAATTGTTTTCCTGTTTCTACAGTTCTTAAAAAAATAACCCGTTGTACATTGGAATTATCATTTCTTTCATCGAAAGTATTATCTTGGAACACGTCATTTTCATAATGATAATTAGAACTCAATAACTGCAATTTGCTACAGCTTTCAAAAACAGTGTTATCATTCGTTATGTTTCCCTGTGACTTTTCATGTAAATTACTTCTGTAAGATGAATTCGCATCGATGTACTCTCTAAGATGTTCACAGCTTTCTTTTGATTAACTGGTTATTTGAGAAGATGATGCTTTATGTTTGTTATGAAAAATTGTCTATTAAGCGCTGGGTCTTCATTTTCGCTTCCATTACAGTTTTTTAAAAGTTCCCTGGCAAATATTTTTATACTTTGATCCTCGTTGAGTTTATAGTTTTTCAGCAGTGTTAACTTTTTTATTTGGGCTGTACGTTGATGGCACTTGATTGTGTATTGTTCTTGCCGGTAATGGTCGGAGTTCTATTAAAAAATATTCGATTAACCTCCAAACAGCTGTCTTTTTCAATATACCATAGGTCGATATATTTACTATTGTTATCATCCGTGTCATATAATCCACTTTTTTTAACTGAACATTGCAGGTATCTAGAAAAATTCAAAATCAAAACTATTATTCAAAAGTTTTAAATTACTGAAATAAAACATAAAGATAAGAACAAATCAAATACTGTCCGTACATTACAGGTAAAATCTGTTAATTGAAGTAATAAAATATGAAACACAACTTGTACTCAAAGACATCTGTCAATATATATTTATTTGTTTAGTTCCCCTGCTGTGTCGTGTTGAGTAAACGTGTGTTCGTGGTGCTCGTCACGAAAATGGAGAAACGTGATCAAGAGCAATGCGTCGCGATAAAATTTTACACCAAATTGAGCGAAACAGCTTCGGAGACGTACGCTGTAATTCTAGAAGTGCATGGTGATAGGGCTCTTAGTTGTGCCCAGGTGTTTCGATGGCTTAAACAGTTTAAGGAGGGGCGTGAAAGCGTGGAGGATGAAGCGCGGGGCGGGAGATCAGTCGAGGTGCGGACTGACAAGAATGCGCACCCGGGAAAATTGTAAATCAAGTCTTCTATCGCTAAGTACTCGAAACATTGCAAAACGAGTCAATAGGGTACTCTTAGACATCGGTCGTAGCTGGATCCTTCATCATGACAACGCGCCGTGCCACACCGCCCTCTGTGTGTCCCAGTATTTGGCCTCTAAAAGAATCGCCGTGTTGCAAAAACCGCCTTATTCGCCCGATATGTCACCCTGTGACTTTTTTGTTCCCTAGAACAAAATCGGTGGTCAAAGGAACCCCGTTTGAGTCGATTGAGGACATCCAGACGGCCGTTACGAAGCTTAGAAAACACGCTGGGATCGTTATATAGCTGCACAAAGAAGAGGATGACAGCGTTTTAGAAAATTTTCGAAATATACTGCTTTTAATGGAATCAGTCTCATAACTTAATTGTCACACCTCGTACATTTCAATTCGGCGAAAAACAAGACAGAAATTTAATAACACAGATGTCAAATTCAGTGAGGAACGGGTGGAATACTCTTCTTAAATAATGGAAAACAATATTAGCCAACTGGCCGCTTACGGTTACGCTTACAGGACCGTATCCTTTTTAAGAAATGTACTATTATTAAGTCGCGAAGTGGCTGCTGTATGTCCTCAATAGCTCCATGAATTCCATCTTTGTTTTCTTGAACCGACGTTGGCCTGTTGATGTAGATTTTATTTTTCACGTGCCTCCCAAGGGAAAGGTTGCCAGGTCTTAAATCACAAAATCTTGTTGGACAATTGCGATTACCTCCTCAATAGATAACAGGTCGGTAACTTTTCCGTTAAAAGGTCGATGGCTTCGTTGCTTGTGAATGTCCATATCAATACCGTAAATTCCTGCCATGAATAATCATTAATCATCTCTTGATAGCGTAATTCATCAACCGTAACTGTTGTTCAAGCCTAGTTTTCGAAAAAGTAAAGTCCAGTAACCCGGCCGGACCATAAATCGCTGTTGGATGGAGAGCAACAGGTGTCACGATTTTGCTAATTGACGTAGCCATTGAGGTAGAATTGGGCCTCATCAGCCAAGATAATTTTGCGATGAAATTCCGGATAATTTTCACGCGTTTCAAGAACCCAATCAGCAAAGATACGTCAATATACGTCGATATAAGTCTGAAGATCCAAGAACGACCAACCTGGTTTTTTTTTAAGCAGTAATATTTTCAGTTGTTATCGTGCGATGTGCACGTGTTTTACTCTTCACATTATCAATTTGATAACAGTACTATTTTCTCCATAAATGTTTGTATTGTGGACCGATAAGGTGCTTGACAACGAACGGAAAAAGTTTTAATTTTACCAACCCTGTCAAGTTTTCACCATTCAAATAGTGAATTTTAATGATTTTAGTGCGTTGTTGAAGCGTGTACCGTTTCGTTTTTATTACTGATATAGTATTTACTTGTCTAATATCCAGAAATTACAGCTTCTGTCATTGATTTTAGAGCGTTGTTGAAGCGTGTGTAGTTAAACTTTTATTACTAACATACTATTTTCTTGTCAAATATCAAAAAACTTCACATTATGTCACTTTTGAATAGTAGGTTATTAAAAATAACATTAGGATCCAATAAATAGGAAGTGGTTATTTCCGACAAACGTGAAGATGAAAAAATCATAATAAAAGGCATTAATCGCTACACCAACGTATTAATTGTGAATGCTTAACACCCAAGGCAAGTAATCCATTAAAACGTAATAGATTTACGCTATTACGTGAGTAACTTTTGCGCACTATAGAGCATTCCAAAGTAATCAGCCCTGAGTCATGAACATGATCGTGAATGTTTCTAGCGTCAAATTATGCTTAAGTTATTTTGAGTATTAAATAACTGTAACCTTATAGAAAACGAGCGAAATTTGTCAAAGTATATGTGGGTGTTTTCAGTTGGATCTGTGAATAATCTGCTTCGGAAACGCCTACCAATAGCGAGGTTGTTACGCGAAAATTATCCATACATCAGTAGCTCAAAAGCAAGCTCTGTTGACACCAAAACATTTTAGAACAGCGGCAGGAAAATTTAAAATCACAGCTTCTAACTATCAAACAGCATTACCCTTAGTTGCTTTAGCGATGCATCTTTAACCTCATCCACGGCTGTAAAACAACGGCCTTTGTAAATAGGAAAAAGTAACAAGGGCACAGCTATGAGCAAGCGATTGACATCCATTAAATATTTTTACACAAATATGGGCATCATATTTGGATTCCTTTACACAAACGATGCTGTGCTGCTTATTTGCCGTTTGGACTTTTGAGCAAAGAACACAGTGAGTTTCACCTTCTCGTTCGACTGCACGATCGAAATGTTTCGGATTTTGGCGAGCTAGAATGGCTCCACTCCGAGGATTGAGCCTTAGCATTGACTTCATATCCACATAAGGCATCTCCGAAATTCCACTCCGACATTGATTTCATTATTCGACTTCTGAGACACTACTATTCTTTCTATTATGTTTCAAATTCATCATACTTACTAATTTTACTGGCGCAGACACTGCTTTCGTGATTATAGCCGAGTTAACTTTTTACTGTGTGGTCCCAATTGGAAATACGAAGTACAGCCAAGTTCTTCTCTACCTGGTCTTTCCAACGGAATGGAAGTCTTCCCTGCTGTTTCTTGATTCGCTGAAATATGTCAGAATCGCCGTATTTATTGTACAGCTCTCGTTCCATGGGCTGCGCTATTCGCAGTTCTCAACTATCATCCGAGACGTTGTTTTCGTTAGAGCTAATATCTACGTGGCGGGTCCCAAGCCCAGTACACAACCTCGTTAAGCGAGTAAGTTTTTTTTTACACATTTATACAAAGAGCCGCTTGCTTCAAGACCGACGCCCGCTCGCAGCCGCACTTGTGCTGAACAGACGCTGCAATTAGACTTCAGCAGATCCTTAAACCGAATAAGTCGGAATGAATCTACTGAGCTTCCTCTCTCATTAGCCGTGACCTAAGGCTCCACACGGGTTGGTTACCGCATCTTGCACAAGGGTTGCTTACGTTTCCAGGGTGCGCGACGTGGACGCAAGAGTAGGAATAATAGAAATTTGTATACTTAGATAAACAGGAATACACTTATTTCCTGAAAGTGGGCAGGGTACTTACTTATTTGAAAAAGATTTAATTACTTCTCGAATGCCTTGAAATTTCTTAATAAAAAATTAAGATTGATACGAAGATTATTCTTCTCTCAGGGTAATGGATCGGGTATTGGCCTTATTAAAAATCGGACATTCCTCTCTCTAAGAAGTGGACCAATGTCAATGGCAAAACCAAAAATTTTATGATAAAAAGATATCCCATAATTACTTTTTCATACATTCAATGATTATGTGCAGCGTTGCAGGGTGCAACTAGTGCACATCACATGGCGAATTGTTGTTTTCGTAGGTTGTGGAATTTCGTCTAAGCTATCCTCAGCTATCTTACGTTTTCTTTTCTCCATTTTAGCTGATCGCTCTAAAATTTAAAGGGTAGACCAACAAGTAAGAGATTTGGTATTTTTAGATTTAGCAAAAACAAATTCAGAGACACAATTTCGGTCACCAGAGACCGAAATTTTTTGCTAATCCCCCCGTATATCTTCTTATATATAAATATTTTATGGACGTTTAGAAAAATTCAGTAATCTCGAAAAAAAAAAAAATTTACCAACCGATTGTTCTCGGATTGTTTCTATGATTCCTGGGAACGGAACACAAATTTTCGGAAAGTTGACCAGGGACTGACCTTTTCGAAGAACTCTTATTTAATGTTCAATTTCCTTGAATCTTAGCATATACGTGTCTTTTTTGATTAGATTGCCAGGAATCGTGTACTTCTCCACGGGTAGTGGACAAGGACCAGAAACCCACCTATACAAAAATATTGAACTAATTTTATCTTCGAAAAAGTTTATTCATCTTTTGATTCACTTGATAAGTGGTGCTTAGGTGGTTTTTGCTAACATTAATAGGAAAACTCTTTTTTGTCCGAGAAGTGGACTAGAGACCGACTTGTGCAGAAAAAGTTTATTTTCGGCTCGATTTAAATAAAGTTCGGTACATGGGTAGCTTTTCTAATGGATTAACACAAAACTTACACTTCTCTCTGCAAAGTGGACCAGGGACTGGCCTATTCGAAAAAAAAAAAATGTTTTTAATGCTCGATTTCTTTTTGTTTTTCGCTTAGATTAACAGAAAGACCACGCTAGCTTCATATACAAATACACACACTTATATTAAAAATTACAAGATTGACGAACTTGTCGAAAGGGTGGTAAGCATAAAATATAATTAATATAAAAAATATTGAACTTTAACAGCAAAATCACTTCCGTATATTTACAAACATAAAATTATTTATCGGTCGCAATTCCATGAATATTCTCGGTCGAGTCTTGTTATTTTTTTAAAATACTCTAAAGAAAACTAAATAGCAAAGTGACGAAGTAGGTGTTCCATTTTATTTTATATAAAAAGGAGCGTGAAACGGAATAAATTAACGAACCACTAGTAAATTAGCTAGCGAACATTTGTTTTCCGT